GGGGGCCGGCGGGTGGTCCTGAGCCATCCCACCAGCACCCTCTGCAGCCTGCGCCCCGCAGCTGCTGCCAGCCCGGCTGCTCGGGGAAGCACGCTGCAGCGTTGCGGGAGGGATCCTGCGCAGGGACAGGAGCCTGGAATTTATTAGTGACCCGGCGTATTGATCCAGGAGCCTTGATTGATCCCTCAGCATTTCCCAGCTGAGTGTGCTTCTACAGCGAAGCCGTTACGATCTGGGGCATGAGTGAAGGAGACGGAGAGGTGCGGGTGCTGTGAGGGGCTGGCACAGACAGATTCTCTGCAAAGCAAGTAAAAACGGGGAGCACGTGCACGCATGCGTGCGTGCGTGCGTCTCTGTCAGAGGCTGAAGCCCCTGGCAAAGGGCTGCAAGAGCAGCTGGGAGCAGCGTGCTCTGCTCTCCCGCCCTGCAGGCAGCTTGCTTGTTTCTGATGAGTGTGTGCCCTAAGAGGGGTTTGAGTACGGCCTGTTAGACCTGTGCCAGCTCAAATTAAAAAAAAACAAACAAACCCACAATCTACCATGTAATTCCCTTTTGCTGTCTTTTGCTTAGGGAGACGAAAACAAATCGGTCAGAGACCGTTTCAACGCACGACAGTTCATTTCCTGGTTGCAAGACGTGGATGACAAGTACGATCGAATGAAGGTGAGAGGCGCGTGGGCAGCAGCAGGTCCTGCCGCTCTGCCTCCTCCAGGAGGGCTTTTCCTGAGAGGGGTCCCAGCTGTTGCTGTAGCCTGGAAGCTGCCTTTGTGGTTTCCAAAAATCTGCTGGGAGCGAGTGTCCGGAGGTGATCTGGGCAGCGTTATGTGATGGGGGAGGCTTCTGTGCACGGCACGGCTGAGGGGTGGGAGCCTCCGCAGAGACGACGGGAGCACAGTTGCCTCCGCTCGTTCCAAAAAGGGGGAAGGGAGCCACGTTCTGCTTAGGGCCGCCCGGCTGGCCGTTACTCTGCTTCGTGCCATATGGTCTGGAGCTTTCTCGGTCAGTTAAACCCTCGGGGCCTGCTCTTTGCCAGCAACAGATGCTGCAGCAAGCTCAAAACCTATGGCAGGCTTCAAGGTGGCAGGAGCCCGTGCAGTGATTTGCGGAGCGCTCCGCAGAGCTCGGGGTGGCAAACTCTGGCGCGGCAGGGAGCAGGGACGATCGTGCTTTCAGCTGGTGACAGGGAGGGAGCTGGCAGCTCCCAGGAAGGGAGCAGGGCCCTGCGCTCGGGCAGCCGACGGCCGCTGTTGGGGGCCCTGGGGGACGGCTGCT